GGTGCCTGGGTCCCCTGGCATTTTTGACTCTCAGACTTATCCACATGTAGCCTCTAGCAACTTGTCAATTACGGTTCAGGTTTCCCCTCCCTGGTACTGGTTTCTGTGGCATCCTGCTCTGGTAAGTTGTGATTCTCTGTATCTACCCATTTCTCTCCAATTTTGGAGGCAGTGGTTTCCCCAGGGGTCTTACTTCTCTTAAGGATGTAAGTTTTGTTGATCTTCCAGTTTGTTCAGCTTTTTACTTGCTGTTAGGACAGAGTGGCACCTTCCAGGCTCCACAATGTTGAACCCACCACATTTTAATTGATTTCCTTTTACTGCCTTTGCAGGCACAGAGGCGTGCAGGGGTGAGGCAGGGAGGGGAGGGCTTCAGCCATTTGGCATAGCCAGCCAATTGACGGTTTGAATTAGAATGGGTCATGGTGATGCGGCCGCTTGCCGCCTCCCCGTAGCTCCACATCTCCGTGGGCCAGCACTGCGCGTGGCCAGTTGGAGGGCATGCTACTGGGGCTCGGCCCCATGGCAGAGAGCCGCAGGGGCTCTGCATGCAGGAATGCCCCAGGCCCACGTGCCACTGCCTGTTTCCGGCCACGCTGCTTGCGTGATCCTGATTGGGTAATTTTTGAATCCCACTGTTTTTGATTGGATGTTAAAGCTTGTTGTTGATTGGATGTTAAAGCTTGTTGTTGATTGGATACTTTTTGAGCCCTAGCAAGGGTATAGAAGCAGGAGGAGAACAGAACAGAAGGGGCAGAAAGGGAGCAAACCAGAAGACAGGAAGAGAGCTGTAACACTCGGTGTGCGGAGCCTGCTGTCGAGGAATAAAGACTGTTCTCCGATTCTTCGTGTGCTGCTCGGTTCTTTCCCCGGTCAAGAGCTGTAACACTAGCTGTACACATTGCCGCAACAATGGGAGAATAAAGTCAATGATCTTGAAGATCCTTATCATCATAAATCTCAAGAAGAGAGGAAGAATTCCCAGATGGTAGAGTAACGGAGCCTATGGCAGGGATGGGGGGGACAGGGCCATTTTCACTCAAAAGTGCTGAAATTTAAACCTTTGACATTACTTTCAAAGGAGGCTTTTTATACTAATTGTAGTCACAGAGATCTACCAACAGAATTGAAAAGTCTTCCTCATATAACTTAATACTTTTATCCATTTCTGGACCACATTCTTTAAAGTGTACAGTGAATTTAATCATTTCTATAAAGCTTGTGATTATCTTGTGAATAACACAATTACATTGCTGTGTAATTTTTATGTGCCCCCACAAACCATTAATTACATTTAAGGTGTACCATAATTGTTATCAACTATGTTTTGCATTTTTATTCTAAAAATGTTAGTAGTTTAGCCCTCTCCTGATCTCTGAGAGGTCCTGGCCTTAGGACACAAGAATGTGAGATTTAGAGAGAGATAAATAGATGCTGGGAAACAAGATGAGACAGAGACCAGAGTCAGGTTTGCTATGGCAACATTGAGAATAATGGGGGCTGGACCAGACCAGACAGTGGCCAGGGAGGTGACCTAGCACGTGGTCACTGGCTAGGATTGGGCTGCTCCCTGAAGCAGCCCCCCACTCCGCATGACCCAGGTTATTGGAAGAATCCCTGAGTTCTCAGGTATCCTACCTCTGTATGACATCCACTGGCTCTGCCTATGGGTAGGAAATATAATTGCTGCATAATTAGTCCATGAATTATTGAGAACTGACTGGTGTGAAATAATGAGCAGGGATGCCCTGTGGGTTAGGAAATACATTTAATATTGGAAGACTGACATTCAAGTAAAACCAAATCATGAGGTTGTCATTTTCAGGGCCTACATCAACCTAGAGCTGTGTCTGATTGCTTAAAACAAGCTGTAAGAAGAACATGCCATATGAGGAGAAATTTCTATCAGCTCACAGCTAATATGGATACTGGGAAATTATAAACAAACAAAGCAAATGGTAGACAGAACCATGCAGGGGGCATCATTTATAACATCTGTCTTTCTTCAAAGTAGCCCACCTCATGCTAGTGAAAATTAGTCATCTTAGGAAGAAAAATATTACTCCTCCTGTCCCCACCATGTACTCAGGAGTGGCTCCCTCTTTCAGTGGCTTGCTGGGCCCATTCTTTCTTCACACCCATGTCCACTTGTCCCTTGTACAGTTGACATGTTGTACAGTCGTGTGTGCCCTCTCTCTGATCCTGGTGTGTCACTGGCTCTCACACTCACCACTCCATAGCCATCTACAGAAGGGCAAAGGGACTTCCAGATTAACCCGAGCCACTTCCCTTTCACTCCAGTGTGTTGCTCTTGGGAGTTGCTCCCCGGCACCCCACTCGGGACATCTGTGCGTGCTGCCCCTTTGCCTTCTGGGCCTGTTTTTAGCTTGCTCCTCTGGCTCCCTGCTCTAGGCCCAGCACAACTTCTCCAGCCAAGCTGACATCTCCCCCAGTGGCACCTGGCTCCTATGAGGTTTACAAATAGATTCACTGAATAGGCTGAAATTGTTTTTTGTTTTTTTATTTTTCTGTTTTAATACTTTTAAACAATTTTCTTCAGAGCAGTCTAGTCATAACTCATCTGTAGTCATACTTTCTTTCCTTTTTTTTTAAAAAGCCAATTCTAATTCAACAAACATCCACTGCAAGCTTTCTATGCTCAAGCATTGCACCTGGCCCTGGAGATAAAAAAACTCTCTCTTTTCTCCCCCCTTCCTCTCAACTTTTCTTCCCTTCTTTCCTCCTTTCATAAACAGATAGTTGGTATTTTGCTAAATTCCTGGTGATACAAAGATGAATAAAATGTAGTCCTCGCCTGCAAAAGGCTTTCCATCTAGTTAGCAACAAAAAAGTAAATGTACAATTAAATTACAAACAGGAGTGGTAAGTGCCAAGCCGGAGGGTTTATATAGGATATTGGGAGGATGTGTGTGTGCCTGAGTGTAAATGTGTGTCTCTGTGTGTGCATGTGATCATGTGCATGTGTGTGTGTGTGCACGTGATCGTGTGTGTGGCTGTGTGTGTGCACGTGTTGGTGTGTGTGTTCCTGTTATTGTGGGGCTGGGGCCTTAGCCTGGGAAGGGTCAGGAAAGCTTCCAAAGGAAGCGACCCTGGAGCTGAGGTCCAAAGGAGTAGGATTTGTCTGGGGTCGAGGTCTTGGATGTGCCAAACAGAGTGAACATCTCATGCAAATATCCTGAGGCAAAGCCCTCCTGGTGTGTGTGGAGAACTGCAAGTGGTTTGCAGCATTTTGTGCTGTGGAGTAGCAAGAGATGAGTCTGGAAGTGCCTCAGGGACCAGTTCAGGGAGAATCGTGTGCATGGGATTAGGAATCCTACAAAGGGTGAGAAGACATTGAAGAATTTTATGTAAGAGAGTACCATAATTAGGTTTGCATTAGCTATAATGTAGATTATGGAATTGCAGGCCACTGGGCAAGCCCCTAGGCCTGGAATCCAATCAGGAGGCAGTGGCAATACTGATGGTATTAGCCAAGAAAATGGGGTTCTTGCCTTCCAAACACTCACAGTCCAAGGCTCATGATAAATCATTTACCATAATAGAGTGAGGTTGATATTAACATAGGCAGGTGTACAGGATGACAGATCTCTGATCTCCCTGGCCTGTATGATTTTAAGTTCCTTCTGGCTTTAAAATTCTTCAGCTCTAGGCCACCCTGCCGTGGACAGTGATGCTGTTCTCTGAACATCTCTGCTCTAAGGCTAGTGGCATGTTGAAGCGGAACCACGTAAGAATATTCACAGGAGCACTATTCAAGAGGGGAAGCCAGAAAACAATCCAAACATATACATTTATACGTAATAATATATGCATGATATAATGATGAATTATTTATATGTTTCATATATAATAAAACTATAGAAAAACTTCTGTACATTTTTTTTTGACAGAGTCTCACTCTTTGCCTGGGGTAAAGTGCCGTGCCGTCAGCCTAGCTCACAACAACCTCAAACTCCTGGGCTCAAGCAATCCTTCTGCCTCAGCTTTCTGAGTAACTGGAACTACAGGCATGCGCCACCATGCCCGGCTAATTTTTTCTATATTGTTTTAGTTGGCCAATTAATTTCTCTCTGTTTATAGTAGAGACAGGGTCTCGCTCTTGCTCAGGCTGGTTTCGAACTCCTGACCTAGAACGATCCGCCCGCCTCCGCCTCCCAGAGTGCTAGGATTACAGGTGTGAGCCACTGCGCCCGGCCTGTACATTTTTTATAGAAAGCAAGAGAAGAATGAAGATGGAATTTAGGATGATGCTCGCTTGGGTGGAGAAAAGCATGAGCATGAGAGGGAGGGACCCTAGGGTGAGATGAAGTTATTGTCAAGGGTCTAGTCTTGGGTGGTGGGTTTGGGAACTTGTTACACTACCTGAAGTAACTAAGTAAGTAAATAACTGATAGATGTAAGATGGCCATGCACGGATCATCAATGGGAAGGTGCCATGAACTGAGGAATATGGTTTATCCAGTCCAGTGCGCTGAGCTCCATAAAGAGACAAGGTATAAGCATGCAGACAGAGAAGATAAAGGCAAGGAGCTGGAGTGGAAAGAAGAGACCAGAAAATCTTCCAGTGGGAGGGGAGAAGAAAAGACCCTGGAGCAATGGGGCCTGGGACCAAGGAGGGAGAGTAGGAAAAGGGCAGGATCAGGCGGGGGGGATGGGGGGGGCTCAGGAGGAAGGCTCGATGGCCTGTGGTTGGGCAGTAGGGTATGGCCATTTGGTTGTTGGAATTGTTTGTGAAATTCCTTCCTCTTGGAGAGAAATTGAGCCAGATTGCTATACTGTAACCCAAGGGGAGCCTCTGCCCAGAGTGACAAAGGATCTCGATCAGTTTCAACTTTCCACTATTAACAAGAACTGGAACAACAGCTCAGGCCCTTCCCCAGTCAGTATATCAAACTGAAAACAAAGCTCCTGCCTCTTGTTTTTCTCGTTCCCTCCTGCCCCAGCAACTGAGTCATAGCTACATGCCATGGCATACTCACAGCTTTACGATGTCTGGTCCAAACAAGTAAACCACTAAATAGCAGGTGGTCTTCAAGAACAGTTTTTCTAAGAAAAATAAAGAGGGCAAATAGAATATATCTTTATTATGATGAATGTAGCACATGAGTTAACAGTGATCATCTTTATTAGGAACTGAATCTGAATGATTGATTTGTGATTAATTGAAGTACTTTACTTTAAGGATATGAGGGAAATATTACATTTAATGTATCCATTAAATGTCATTTCTATTTTAGGTTTGTGTGAATGCCACTTGACTGTACATGCTACAGATAACCAGTTTGTTATCAAAACACAGTTATATTTTTGGTTTTTATTGTCTTTTTCAGGGAATATCTGAATGTTGGTTACGATCTCATTTGTTGAAGCCGAAACAAACAGGACTTGCATTAAAGTAAATAATTTGAAATGTAGCTCTGTTGGAAATACTCTTCTCTGGTGTTCAGTTGGGGGAGAAGACTTCGCTTGGGCTACTTAGTTTTTGTTATTGTTATCCCCCCCTAAAAAAGACCAGCTGTTACAAGTGTCCCTGTGTCGCCATCTTCATCAAAGAACACAAATAGATACACATGACACACATACACAATCATGAATGAAATAATCTCCCCTCACCCCTTATGAGAGTATAAGAACATTTTGTGGGTTGATCCATCTACACAATTAAACCTGTTAGCTCTCTGATCCTGTTGCTTTAGCTTTTGAGTCTACTGTGGAACCCTGGTAATTTAACTTTGGATCTAAGTATAGTTGCAGACAGCTACACTGTCCTGGAAAGAGATGGAAAATCACATATGCGGATAATTTATGTTGTCATGATGCATCTCGAACGGGGGACCCAGGCCTAGCTTGGAGCGTGGAGTGGTGAAACAACAGAATAAATACAGTGAACTCTCCCTGGCATTTCAATTTTACTAATGTTCAGTAATATTAAATATTATTTTTATATTAAAATAGATATGTTCATATGACTTGCTTTATAATAAAGCATGAGACTTGAAACACATTGTGCTCTTGAAGTACGAAATTAAAACCGTATCTCCACATTACTACTGATCTCACGGGAATAAAAAATTATAAGGGAACACTATGAACAGTCACATAACAATAAATTAGATAGTTAAATGAAATGGAAAAATTCCTATAAAGACACAGAATGCCAAAAAGTGACTGGAGAATGAATAGACAATTTTAATAGACATATAACAAGTAAAAATATTGAATTAGTCACCAAAAACTTTTCACAAACAAAAGCCCAAGACAGAATGATTTCATTGGTAAATTCCCCCAATAAAGAGAACTACAGACCAAAATCTCTCATGAATATAGCCACAAAGTTTCTTAACAAAATACAAGCAAATAAAATCTAGCAATATAGAAAAAGTTATACACCATGATCAAACAATATTTATCCCAGAAATGCAAGATTGGTTTAATATCTGAAAATCAATGAAGTATACCACATCAATAGAATAAAAACACATACTATATGATCATCCAATACATGCAGAGGATACTTGACAAAATACAACACCTTTTTATTATTAAAACCCCCACAAAATAAAAATAAAAATAAGAAGAAAAAGGAATTTCTTTAACTCAATAAAGGTTATCTATAAAACCCCACGACTAACATGATGTTTCATGGTGAAAGATTAAACACTTCCCTCCTAAGATTCAGGAAAAGACAAGAATATCTGCTCTCACCAATTCTATTCAACATTATACTGGAAATTCTAGTCACGAGAAGTAGACAGGAATAAGAGTAAAAAGCATCTAAATTGAATAGAAAGAAGTAAGCTATTTTGCAAATGACATGATCTCATATTTAGAAAATCCTAAGCAATCCATCAAAAAGCCCTAAGAACCAATAAATGAGTTCATCATGGTCGAAAGATATGAGATCAATACGCGAAATCAATTGTATTTCTCTATAGCAGAAATGAGAACTTAATAAATGAAACTAAGAAAAAAAAGTTCCAGGGCAAGATGGCTGATTTAGAAACACTGGTTGCCAGATTGTCTCAGAAAGAAGGAAAAGTTTTAGGTTGAAAAAAAAAATACATAGCTCAAGTGCAATTCTGGGAGGAAAGTGCCAGAACCTACACAAGATTCCACAGGAAAACGTTGTGGAGCAGAAGAAGGAGGAGCAAGATTTTGGCAGAGATCAACCCCCTGAAAAACTTGGAGTCCTGTGGAAGGGGTAGGTGGGGTTTTGATTCTCTTTACCGCACACCTCTGGTAGTCAGCAGGTTCCTGAGCTGCTGGAGAGCTTCTCTACCCTCACGAGCCCCAAAGCTGCTGCTGTCAGTGAACTGGGACCTTCTTGAAATAGCACTGGGCTTCCAGCCCTCTTTGGGTTGCTCCTTGTCACCACAGACCTGAGCTGAGACCATAGGCCCCATATAGATTCTCCACCCACTATTTTTCTTTGTCCCCCCCCTCCCCCCAGGGAGCTTCAGTGCCTCAGTTTCCATGTCACTGGTTCCCACACAAACATTTCCCAACTCCTGCCCAGACTGTGGTGGCCACAGGGGCCGGTGAGTCCTAGGGATCTGTGTGATCCTAGAGCTCAGATATTCTGAGCAGGCTGCCTTATGGGGAGAGGGACAAAGGTGACCAGAGTGCCAGCTCTTTTCCCAGACTCTTTTCCTCTCCCCCACCCACTGCTGCTGAGTGGCACTGGTTCTTCAAGGGAGATTAAGCCAGGGTCCTCAGGAGTGGCTTCTTCTCTGCTATTGGTTCATTGACTACATTGAGGCTTCCACAGAGAGTGGGACTCACAACTTTCTTCTTAAAGACCTGCAATAGACCAAGGGGTGCTCGGACTTTGAGCTCTATGCCTGATAGCCCTTCCTGGTGCTGCTTGCTTGGCTGCTCCAGCAGAGCAGGGCACACCCCAAAGTGGAGAGACATTAAGCCTACTTGAGCATGCCATGGGCAACTCAGGACCAACATGCTTCTCCCTCGTGTGTTCAGGGCTTGAACTTGGGGGACCAAAGGACAGCCCTCCAGGCTGGACCCTGTACCCCCAGGGCTCAATTGTGTTGTTGCTCAGGGACATAGAGGGGAGATCTGTGAACTAATCTTGGGAGGTGAGGGAGCCCATGTGGGCACAACTGAAAGGAGAGTGCAGTGTGGGTCCAAGCTGCAACATACTTGCAGAGCACCTCTCCTCCAAAAGGAAAGCTACACTTTTCATTCGGGGCAGGATCCTGGGCAGAGAAACTTCCTTGTGCCCACCGTTGTGAAGCTTGAATGCAGGCTCCTCTGACCCAACTCTGCATAGCCTTGCTCTTCCATGCTCCTCTACTGTGGTGGAGAATAAGGAGTCCTTTGGGAGCTCCAGGGCCCCTCCCACTAACTGGAACATCTGAGTGCTTCTCCTGAGAGACTAGAGCCAATCAAATGTCCCCCAAAACACTCTTGCAGCTGGTTCCTTCCTGCAAGCACCACCTACTGGCAGGGAGGACAACTTATACAGCCCATTACACCATTTCCCAATTCAATCATATAGGGTGCAGCTGACTCTTACCTATAAGCATCACATACTGTCTCAGAGATTAAACTTGGAATCTCAATATACTTCACACAAGGCTGGGGAAAGAGAAAGGATTTCAAAGACCTCTATCTTCTCTTGTCAACAAGAGACAGGGAATCTGCTCACACAAAGTACACCATCACTATAGCCTTCAAATAACTAGCAATTGAGAAAATAACCACATTAAGGATAACCAAGGTATCTATCCAGAACCTAGAATCTCATCAAAGTATCCATAAAAAAAGCCAAAGTTTCATACCCAACATATGCTACAGACACACCCTTAAGAGAGAGAGGGGAAAGCCCCCATCTAATAAAAAGAAGACCCAAAATCAAGTTATAGCTGCTCCATTTGAGAATAAATCAGTGTAAGAACTCCAGAAGTATGAAAAATCAGTGAAAGGACACCCCCAAAGGAACACACCAGTTCTCTAGCAATAGATCTCAACCAAAATGAAAAAAACTGAAATGATGGATAAAGAATTCCAAATAAGGACCATGAGGAAGCTCAATGATACCCAAGTGAAAATGGAAAACAAATTTAAATAAATGAGAAAAATAATTCAGGAAGCGAATGAAAAATTTACTAAAGAGATAGCTATATTAAAAAGAACCCAAGTAGAACCTCAGGAAATAAAAAATTATTTAGGGAAGTACAAAACACAATGGAAAGTTTTAAGAATATATTAGAATAATCAGAAGAAAAAATTTCAGAGCTTGAAGACAACTCTCTCAAATTAACCCAGTCAAAAATAAAGAACAAAGGATCAAGAGGAATGAACAAAGTCTATGAGAAATATAGGATTGTACAAAATGACCAAATATAAGAATAACAGACATCCCTGAGGGTGAAGAAGAAAAGGCACAAGGCCTGGAAAACCTATTTGAGGGAATAATTGAGGAAAGTTTTTCTGATCTTGTTAGAGATTTAGAAATCCAGATACAAGAAGCTCAATGAATACCTGGGAGATTATTGCTAAAAGGGAATCACCAAGGCATATAATCGTCAGACTGGCCAAAGTCAACATAAATGAGGAAATCCTATGAGCTGTGAGGCAAAAACATCAAGTAACTTACAAACGAAAAACCACACAATGAACAGCAGATTTCTCAAGAGAAACTGTATAAGCCAGAAAGGAATGGGGTCCTATCTTTAGTTTCCTTAAACAGAACAGCTGCCAGCCAAGAATTTTGTATCTTGCTAAAATAAGTCTTATTTTATTATTTTATTTTTGTTCTAGCCAATGCATTCCTTTTATTTTATTTTATTTTTATTTTAGTGTAGTATGAGGGTACAAGTGTTAAGGTTACTTATATTGCCCATGCCCCCCCCCGAATAAAAGCTTCAAGCATGTCCATACCCCAAACATTGTACCTCTTACTTGTTGTGGGTGTAAATACCCCTCCCCTCCTCCCCCCTCCCACTCTCCTGACACCCAATAAATGTTACTCCTATATGTCAATGAAGGAGAAATAATGTCTTTCCCAGACATGCAAACACTAAGAG